AACTGGTAGATTTTTTTAAAAAACAAGTTCATTCATTAACTCTGTGGATTATATGCGTGAAAAACAGAGACATGGGAGCGTTTATACCAGAAACTGTGTTAGATACATGAAGGTAGTTTCTTGTCTCTACAATGGTTTCATCTTTTGTCTTTGTCCTCAAATCCAAACTTTTTAAAAGATCTTGAATATTATTGATTTACCATTTACATTGAGAGCTGCAGAAAAAAAATAAATGCAAAGTTTGGAATTTTATTTAAAAAGTAAAAGAAAACAATATGTTGAATTATTGTTGCTATATGTATAAAGTAAAAATGGAAGATTGTACTGACTGTTATAAAACGGAGCTAGGAACTGAATTGGGTTCCATAACAATCAGTTATATTTTAACAATTGTACTGTAGATAAAACTTCATAGTTACAGAAAAAAAATGTTCCCATTCAAACCCTTTTTCACAACTGGGTCCCTCATGTTAATCACAGAAGCCTTCTAGAGGTTTTTCAATCCAGACCATTTGCTGCTCATTAAACAGAAGTAGATGCATAGAATAACTTGTCTTAAACTAGGGATGTAGATTGTCTCTGCTTATAAATATGCACATGGAAGATCTGAGTGCTTTTTTCCAGTACATTTGTTTGTGAAATGCTGTTATCTGTGTGGAGGGCTGTTGATTCTAACATGTTTGTACTTGAGTTCTCTGAGACATATTGCCTTTGTCTACAAAGACCCACATGCTTTACTGATTCCTTAGATTTGAAGCATTTAGTAATGTTTTGGCAGCTTAAAGATGTTTGCAGTTGTCTTTCTGTAGCTTTGCTGTTTCTATATTTTTAGCAAGATTAAGAAATAGGTTATCAAGTCTTGGTTACAACCAGCAAAGATTGGTGAGTCTTCTAGTTTCTGGTGTGTGAAAACACCATGAACTTGTACTTGTTCTCTAGACATGGGTGCATGTAGAGAAAATATTGTAACAAACTCTAGTTATAGGACATTATTTACTTGTCTTTAACATCAACTTGCCTTTGAAGTTTGAAATTTCTTTTCCTGGTCTCAGTCCTCAAAAAGTGTTGTCACTCCCAGTGGTTTGATGGGCAAAAACTTCAGTGTTTGCGCATCTCTATGGTTTACTTTCACATTTGCATTGGTGAGCTCTGTTCAACATTGCACTACAGTCCCTTCTTTTTTTTATCCTCATTTTAGGAATAATTATAATGAGCAGTAGCTTTTAAAAATAGTTACATTACAGGCTTCATATGTATGTTGTACCTTGAAGTTTTTGATAGCTGCAATTTATTTCATAATGAAAAATGCCTACCATTATATTTCCATTTTAAAAAAGTAAACCTTTTATAAGGTACATTTTTAATGACATTTTTTCCTTTAGCTTTTCATTTCAGTAGAATAGTTGTACTTTTACTGCTTTCTGTCTGATGTTAGCTTATTTAGAAAGTAATACTAAACAAAACATTGACTGTGATGCTGAAAACTGCAAATATATTTTCAAAAGACTACAATGGTCAGCAAAATATCAAAAGATGAAAAGGTCTGTTTACAGACTTTGAAATACATAGTTCGGTGTTACCCAAGTCTTTTGACTACAAAAATTATGCTGTAAAAACAGTCCTACTATTTATATTAATTTATGCCTTTGTTAATGGGGTAAGAAAAGAAAGGGTGGGGAGGTTCCAGAAAATGTGTAGTGTATTTTCATGGTATTTCAGTATTTCATTTTCTGACATTCTTAAATAATTTTAAGATTGATTATTTGTGAAGTTATTGCTCCACATATAGGAGTATCTTCATACATCTACTTTTCAGTGAAGCTTTCAAGAAATAAGTGAAAAGTCATGAGCATAAAAAATAGAATCTTCACAAGAAAAAGGGTAAAAAAAAAGAAATTAATTCAAGGAGTAACTTAACATTTTTAAGGCTCTTTTAACCTTTTCTTTATTCTTCTGCTTTGAATTTGTGTGTTTTGTTTCTGATCCACGAAGAATTGCATGTGCTCTCTTATGATATCAGTCTTGAGTTGGAGTCTGGGGTAGTCCAAGCCACAGGACCAATCAGAATTTCTTACAAGATTCTAGTCTGTCAGTTTCTGAGTTGCTGAAACTCAGCAGTCAAAATTGCATCCAGTTTTCTTAACAAATTTGCCACGGTGCAGAGTTTCTCTGTATTGATATATTTTTTCCATGTTTTTATTCATGCTAATTTCTTCTTTAGGAAGATGCAATATCATAGTAACAGAAAATTAAGGTAATATTCACTGTGTCATTTTGTACAACTTTTATTTTTTGATGTGGATTGCTAAGGAGAGTAAGCACAGCTTTAAGGGCATACTGTAAATAACTTACATTGTTAGGAATGTTTATTTAAAAGATATGTATTTTTTGCTTGGATTTTCAAATATACTTTCCTAGTGTATTATCCTAATAAACAGGATTTATTTGTGAAGAAAGAAGATACATAATTTTACAAAGCAAGTGGGTTTCAGAAGGTTGGAGAAATAGAGAATTTTCATGTAGGGCCTTTGTAATCCCTATTTGTTTATTCTGTTCTTTTATTTGCAGATATTACAGAGTGGCACTTAATGGATTTTGAAAAAAAAATCCACTTTCTAGCCATCCTGTTGAGAATTCTGTAAGCGGAGTTCTTAAGTATTGTGAAGGGGTCCATCAGATATAATGAAAAAGAAACAGTTACTATAAATATAGCAAACACTTAATGAAAAACGTGAGTAACTGTTGAAAGACCATATAATGTATTTTCAGTCTCTTATCTAATTCTGATCAAGGCTGGTTAATTTTGTGAAAGATATGCTTGAGTCCCAGAATATTTTAAAATGTTTTAAACACAGAAGGCACGGGGCAAGATTCTGTGACTCACCTGCTATACAGCAATTCAGTGTAATGACTGTTCTGCATTTTGGACATTGAGATGCTTCACTAAAGAATATATGTCTGAAGGTCATGTAGCTATTACTTGACTGAAGTCAGTCATAACGTTAGCTAACATGTGGTACAATAGGATTGTATCCCATGGCCTTGGATTTTGGATCTAGAGTATCTTAATGCACGAATTGCTATATAACAATTTTGTTTGTAAAGCATCAATCAAGTATCATATCAGCGATCTGAAGGAATTCTCATGTGAAAACATAGTAAATTGGTGTCTGTGAAAAGCAAGTGGTATATATGGCTGGACTACTAGCAGCAGGCAAGTGAACACAAGTAGCCTTTTTTCCTTGATTGATCAGAGTAGTGTTTTTTTTTTTTTTTAATATTCAAAATATAAATGAGAACATTTTGTAGAATAAAATTTTATGGGGTAAAGAGAAATAAATTGAATATCAGTCTCAGGTATTTTTCCATGTCTTTAAAAGGTCTTAGAGGTACATATTCTAAAATGCAGTGAAATACTAACAATGCTTTATAGACAAAAGTCTTACTGAAAGCTTATGCTTTTTTTACTCAAAGTAGAACTTGGTAAATAATTGTATCTAAGATAATGAAACACATTATATGCTCAGTTCATGTGAAAAGTCAAGGTGTATAATGATTTCAGTAGCTTTCTATTTGCTATCACAATGTTGTTGTTGTTTTTTTTCCTGTTAATTGGAGTACTATTGAGCTGTATAAGAACAGATGAAAGAATTATTTTCACTTGAAACCTTGCTGGATTTTGTCAGGTTTTATTTTATCTAAAAATAAATGTTTCATAAAACCCTCACTATGTCTCGTTTTATTTTATTCTCCCAATTTATTTCTGATTATGGTAATTTATATATATGTGTGTGTGTGTGTGTGTGTGTGTGTGTGTGTGTGTGTGTGTGTATGAAGTCAAGCTCTCACTTTGCTAACCAACATTTCTATGCTGAAATTCTCTCAAGTGTACCCTGATGTTTGCTGATGTTGAGAGTCAAGATAAATATGTCTTTTGATGATAAAAGCTCAGAGAAGATATAATCTGTTAAAAAAAAACAAACAAACAAAAAAAAAAACAAAAAAAACCAACAACAGCTTTTCTAGTGCATATCTGTATTGTTGAAAACTAACAATTTCAATTGCTGCAGTTGCCTTCATTTAACTTGAAGAGGATAGCTGTATAAGCAATCAGTCTGATTTCTGCCAGTGGTTACTCTACTATGTAGTATGTGGGTACACATCAGTTAATTTGGAGCTCCAAGCAGAGGCTCAGCTGCTTTGCTTGCCTGCTGTAGCATACAAAGGATAAGTGATATAATCACATTGAGGCTAAATACATTTTCTGCTTATGTTACATTTTTTTTGGTCACAGTTTGAAAAGTAGGTTAAAATGTCATTTAAAAAATGAATGCAAATCAAACTTAACATTTTTCTAGTATTATGAGTTCTATGGTAGTGTAAGATATTTAATGTACATGACAGATCTCTGAAGCTTTCTTTTTCCAGCTTTGGGATCAGCATGTGCAGTCCTATTGAGATGTTATAAGAAATAAAGAAAAGTTAGTTGTGAGAAGCAGTATATGGTTGCTGTATCAAGTGTATTATTGCTTCTTCTTATAGTCAGACTTACAAATAAGCAGTTCTTTGTTCAGGCTGTTAAAAAGTAGAGCAAAACAGAAACTAAAGTTATTGTTGTGAAAATCAAGCATATAACCTGAATTAAATGCACGTACTCTACTTATGTGTGTTGAAGAATTGTGTTTATATCTCAGAATCCAGACAAACACTGATATAAGTGAACAACCATGAGTTCTTGTTTTCCATTTTAGAACAAGAGATGGAGAACAGAGTTCCACTTTCCACTTCCAAAAATATTATGACTGATTGTATTACTCTGCCATAAGATGGTTATTATAGCAGTTTAGTATTTGTTGAAAATGCCACGATTGATTTTACAATTCCCTTGATTTATTTTGTGTCTCTCTGTTTATTTTCAAGACAATTCTTTAGATGCTGTCTGAGTAAATGTATCCCAGGTATTACTTGCTAAATCTGGCAGCTTTCATCTTCTCTTTCAGGAGACGCTGATAGATTGGTGTGATGAAAAGGAACTTAATTTGATTTTAACAACTGGAGGAACAGGATTTGCGCCACGAGATGTCACCCCAGAGGTGAGTTACTCCTGGAATAAGAAAAACATGGCCTTTGATGTAGAAATGTATGACTTGTGGGGTGGGAATGTTAATTCTTTCTGAAGTTTCCTCTGTAACTTAACTTGGCAGTATCTTTAGTCAGATCAGGTGATACACAATTTGGAAGGAGAATATGCTATAGGGAATACAACACAAGAGAATTAATATGACCTTGGTTTCTGACCCAAAAGAGTTTTCAGACTAAAATGTGACATAGTAAAATGGATTTCCAGTTCCAGTAGAAACATAATAGAATTGTGATAGCACTGGTATAATTTTCCTTAGCACTGCAGTACAGCACTGCTAAGCAAAGACATCTATATCACATTTCTTGTGTCCCATGCAAGAAAAGTGAAATGAAAGATTTCCTTTAATTCTCTCTTAAAGGCTTCTGTGTTGACAACTTCATAGGTTAGAAAGTAGGAGATAGATTACAGGGGAGAAAAACTGTGTAAAACTGCTATTGCTTCACTTGAAACCACATCATCAAAAAAGCTAAATGGGCAGAAATGGAGGTAACCTGCATCAGTAAATGTTGCACAGGATATTCAGTTATTTTTCACGTCTGTGGAGCTCAGGTAAGGAAAAAAAAACAAAGCACCTACACGAAGAAAACTAAACCAAATAACCTTATGGCCATGAAATGACAATTGTTATTGAATTACTTGGTATTTGTGGCTCTAATTTAGGTGAATTTGAACTTATAAAATCACATACCTCTTTTGATATGCTTATGTTCACTGAAGGGCAGAAATACAACTCAATGCCTGAAGTGTTTATTTCTATAATTTATTATATTTAGTTTTCACTTAAGTTCTCATGTGAGTTTACGATTGCATACAATTTAAGAGTAGTTTTTAGTCCATCATAACAGGCTTACAATCCTCTTTATCTACAAAAGCATTCTGTTAAACTTGAGTGCAGTTTAACTTATTTTCACTAGGAATATTTAAATGCTTTTTATTTGCTGTATAATATTAGTGTAACTAAAAGAAAAATGTAAGCAAAGTGCTTGTGTATTTCTGATGATTTTAGATTGTATACTAGAAACCTTAACTAAAAACTAAGGATCTCTGTAAAAGAAAATGGAGACAGCACAAGATAACTGATAGCATACTAGCTAGTGAAAGTGAATTTACAGGTGATTCACATTGCTAAAGCAACACAAAAATGAAAACTGCATTGATTCCACCAGTCTCTTATTTGCAAAGTAGCATAATGATTTACAAGACTGTATACCAGCACTGTGTAAAAAGGTGTAATTTTTGTTCCAATTTTTCTGATTTACTAACTTATGCAGAGTTGAGTAGTAGTGCCAGAGGAAGCATTTCAAACTACTTACAATGAATTACAGATTCTCAAGCAGTGCTGGGGTCAAGGAATTAACAAATGAGAACTTAACATTAAAATAGCTGGCATTCTCCTTACGTTGATTCATTGCTGTTCCTTAAACTAATTATTTAATACAGGTGGTGATGATTTGTTTGACTAGATTAGATGTTACAGAGACCCATTTTAAAAATGATCTTAGCTCTTTTAATCTCATGCTATATAATAACAGCACATTGATATAAGTGCTTAAAGAGAAGAAAATCAGTTTTCAAACGTGTTATAAGTAAAATATCTGTTCTGAGTCAAGGAGGTAGATAACTTGGAATGGAAAAATTCAACATCAACATCAAATGTGCAATAAAAAACTTCTAGAAAAACTAATTGTAGGAATGAGTTAATAAAACTCATGTATTGTGTAATGAGTGGATTTTATTATCTTTCATGTATGGTGTTTGTACAGCATACTCACATGTTATTACTGAACTGTTACTTAAATGATTTAATCATGACACAGTGCTAGTGAGATATCATCCTTAAGGCATGATTTTAAACATACTAATAATTGAATCTGATTGGGGAAGGCATTTGAACGTTTTTCCTGAGATTAGTGATAGCAGTCCATCAGGTTGTGTTTCAATTGAAATGATTATATCCTGCTTCTCCTTAATTTTTCCATAGTTTCAGCTAGAAAACACAACTTTCTACTTTCTTTTCTGATCATTGATACATAATTGCTATTGTACCGTACCAGACAAAGTTGATTTCTGAGAGTATATGCAGCCCAAATAATTAAAGTTAATTATTTTTATTGATTAATTTTTTTTTCTTTAAATTTTTTTTTCTTGCAACAAAATAGATGACTTGAAGAGTATTCATGCTATCTGATTTTGATTATCTATCTCTGGTTCCTGAATTTATTACAAAGGTTCTAGCGAGTCGATGAAAAGACGCTTTCAAGTTAGATGTTAGGATTTCTGTTTCCGGTAGTGGATGTAGAGCTAAGCAGATGGAGTGTCCTTTGCCTCCCTGTCTGTCTGACTATAAGCGGTGAACTGAATGTGGATAGATTAAAATCAAAACAGTCGGTGGATACCTGAATTTGAAGGAAACCCTTGTTGATGTCATTAATGAATGCTGTAATCCCTCAACTATCGTGACAGTTCTTGGTCAAAAGTAGAGGCTTAATTTTGTCGTTATAACTTCTTTTTCTTTTTTTTTATTTTTTTTATTGTTTTAATCTTCCATATTGTTTATGAGTATACGATTTCAGTCCATACTGTAAATGTTCATATAAACTTTTTGTTGATATATGAATGTTGCTGGACAGACATCAAGGCATTACGTATTCTCCAAGTTATGTGGGGAATTTTTTTATTTCCAGATGCAGACATTTTCCACTTGGAACTACAATACTTACAAAATTTTTACATGATGTTAATGAAAGTATACAGTATTTTTTAACAAATATTTAAATGTGATAAATTTTTGATCATTAGGTTTCTTTCTGATACATAAACATGTTTTCTGTATTGCTGTCAATCTGTACAAAAGGAAAAATGCATTCAGACATTCTGTTTAGTTTCCTGTCATCTCTACTTTTACATTTATTCTTTTGCAGTATTAATTTGCCTATCTCTTAACAGTCTTCCGGCTGTTTTCTTCTCCTACATCTCTGCTGTATCTCACAAGTCTTGTTAGCCTCCATATAAAACTAATTTTATTTACTTAGGTAACAGCAATAGGTGGTCAACCTAGGCTAGACTGATGCTAGAAATCTTCGAGCTGTTGCTGCATATATTCACAAATAGTTCAAATCCACTGCAGATAATTTTAGAGAAGTACTTTTAGAGAAGTACAGAAGAGCTCTTTCCTATCATGGAAAACCCCTGCAGATATTTTCTTATAGTTTTACTTCTTTTCCTCTGCTCTGGAAAAAGTGACGAATATACCTTTTAGTTCTTGCTGGTTATATTCTACAATATTTATAGACTTCTAAAAAATATATTTAAAGACATGCCTGTCTTCATTTGATCTGAAAATATATGCGCACCTTTTCACTATTCTTTCATCAAAGAAGTCCATGGAAAAAAACAAGAAAACAAACACTATTCTCTGGAACTCATGTTTGTCAGCATTTTTCAGAAAGAAACCTGCTCAGAATGGATAAAATATTCCAAACCTAGCTATACAAGCACTGCCTCTGTTCTGCAGCTCCCTAAGGGGTCTTTCACTATTCCTGCTTCCTATGTTTCTCCTTTGAATTTAATGCGAATTTTTCTTCAATAATTTCACTTTCCAAATTCCAAAATTCCAAATTCCATTTCATTTCCACAGACTATTTTAATTTCACTGTCCTGAGGAGCACTTACTATTCTATTCTGTACTGTTTATAATTGTTATATGCTTTGTCTATTGGTTTGTTTCCCCTTCATTTTTGTTAATGAAGCAGGGTGCTTGTTATACAGTGGGGTTTGTGATGTTATAGTTGTATTCTCACAGCAACTCATGTGTTCCCTTCAGATTAACTCAAATCTGTAGAGATATTTCACATAACAATTTTTGTTTCATATGTGATTATTTCAACTCTGAAGAATTATTATATAGTTATTTTCATCCTCCCTGGCTAAAATAGTGCCTTTCCAAACCAGCAAGATTTCTAGCAGCATTTCTTATGAGGAAGGGAGAGCTTCCATGGTTTTTTAACAGTATTCAGCTCTTCTTCATGTGGCTACTGAGCCACAAAAAACTCTTTTTACAGTGTCTGTCACTTCATGCTGGCTCATGAGGAGAAATGAAGTCTTCACCTCGTATGGGACATCAGTCATTTGATGGTAGAAATACTGTGAAATATACAACCTCCAATTACTCAGGCTGTTGTTTCAGTTTTTCGCTATCAATATTCAATCTCCCCACCATTTTAAAAAACTTTTTCGTAATGTATTTTGGTAGTCTGTCTTAGAACTGAAGTTTTCCGTATATCTTCATGGAGATTTCACTCCCTGTTATGTGTAATTTCTTTGTGGAGGTATTATATGATGAGGTATGCTGTGCTTGTATGCTTACTGCTCCTGTAACTTGCCATCAGACCTTTCAAGAACTATTGTACCCTATATTTCCTTGGAAATCATATTTTCAGCCTAGCTTGCTCTTTAAGGGTCTGAATTATGAAACCTTACTAGGTGTATCTAGGCAACAAAGAAACTTCAATGGAGTATGCTGCTCTGTGATAAAATCCTGAGTTCTGTTACATTAGACTTTTATCAGCAACTCTGTACGGCATCATTCTCTTTTTCTTAGACTTCCAGACAGTTCCTAGCTTAGATGATTAAGTCTTTATCCATTCTGATTTAGTTTTTTAATAAAATTAAGGTTTTGGAACCCTGTGTTGGATGTTACAGAAATCCAGATATATTTGTGTGCTCTATTCATTTAACCAGTAATTCTATAGCCAGGTTTTACATCACAGATTTGAAAGACAGTATTACAGCAGAGCAATTGCAGAGCAGTTTTTACTAAGTAACAGTTTCCAGTGTCCCTGAGAAACAGCAGAACACTGTGAGCTTACAGAAACATCTCAAGGTTAGAAAATTCCAAGCTGATTTAGCTGCCTCGTTAAATCCTGAAAAGCAGAGTTTTTCTTCTCTTGTTGGAGCTGCTCAGGAAATCTTAGGTGCTGAAAGGCTCTGGTAGTCTGCTGAAGAGGTGTAACAACAGCTGTCGATGGCAAGCCTAAGCCGGAAAAGTCCAGTAAGAAAGCAGTCAAAATGGAATTTTTTCTGTGTGTGGATTGGCTTGGTGTGGATTTTTTTTTTTAAACAATAAGAGACTAAACATACAAACAAGTTCCATCCCCCCAAAAAATGAAAAGAAAAAGCTATATTTTCTCTACTTTATCTCTGTCAAATGAAAATTGATTGTTTGTCGAATTATAAAAAACAAGTTTTGTGGGATCCCTAATGAAAGTAATGGATTAATGAATTATGTACAAAAAAGCCGTACTAGATTATAAACTAATGTTTTGTACATGTTAAATGAAGAGACTATTTCAATCAAGTGGGTCCTGAAATTAGTGGATAAGCAATTGTCTGTCCTGTTTCCAAAAGAACATATTAATTACTTCTCTTTTTTTGAAAATTCAAAAATTGATGACATTGGCTGAGGATGTTGGGGTATTTCAAAATCTTTAATTGATTTTCTAATCTTTTAAAAGCTATCTGACCATCATATTCTAAAGATAATAATAGAATTCCTGTCAAATACTTCAGGATATTTTTGACCATTTGAAGCAAATTTCATTTGCTTCGTTTTATCTCTCCTTAGTGCTCTGAGCTACCAAGTAGTTCCACTTTCTATTTTTCAGGTAGTTATGGAATATTTACAAGCAAGTACTGTCAAAAAAAAAAAAAAAAAAAAAAAGGAAAGCAGGTCAAACACCAGTAGGGAATTTACACATTTCACACAGAAGCAAAGCCACAGTAACGTGTCAGGAAATATTACTTTTGTATCATAAATTTTCCAGTTAAAATTTTGTTCCAAAGTAATTTAAGAATGAAAGTGACTGGACAAATTGTTCATATCCCACTAATCCCAAATACTTTAAAAATATACCATTTTTTTTAAAAGACACAGTTTACTGCTTATCAAAAGAAAGGGTTCTCCTCCTATTGGCGTTAGTGATATATTGTCTGTGCTTTTATTGTAGTGACCAGAGCTCATACTGATGTGTCTTTATTTGGTTAAATTAGTTGGCTTGGCTCAGTTAGCCACAGAGAATTGATCTTGCAGTCCTTTTTTTTTCTGTAACTGGAGAAGAAATCTTTGTTTACTTTGGTTCCTCTGCATAATGAAATTTCCAATTTGGGACTTTGGGAATTTCTGCCTTTTAGGCATTACCATTGGAAGATCTCTTCACAACAGGTAATAGGGAACTAAACAAAATTAAACATCAGGCTAACTAAAACAATATTGAAAATATTGTTAGGCCAGTAATTATGCAATTCTTAGCCTTAATTTATCATTTTCTAGATATATGGACATTCAATATGGAGAAAATTAACAAAAACTCTTTCTGGAAGCAGCTTTAAGAAACGATAACTAGAAGACAACTGCTAATTTGAATTTAAGATATATGAAAAATTGAGTTAGTTCATTTGGCATAAGCTCCCCAGAATACCAAAATAACTGATTTAGAATAGTTTGTTGTTGGAACTAATGCTTATTGAACAGTGGAAAATTTCTCATTTGCTCCTTGCCTGTTGTGAAGGAGCACTTTCAGCCACTAATCAAAACTGAACTGGATGATAACTCTGTACATGCTTCTGCACATTCCTACCGCATGGAACAATGCAACTTCTTCAGCAAAGTGTTAATTAAAAGTATTTGGAGAGAAAAACATGACTATAAAGTCACTCAGAAGTCTTATCAAATATCGGTTAGAAAATAGTACGTTTTTAACCTTGGTTCAGACTATTTGCTGTTACTTCAGCTTCCTCGCACTTCACGCTTATGCATATGTTCTTTTTCCCAATTGTTTTGTAGGGTGAATACCAAAATCGGTAGTGAGGGGCATAATCTGCTGTGTTCTAATTATTATTGATTTTTAAACTTCTGCTGGATGTAGAAAGTACAGTTTTTCATTCCACAGTGGTTCTCTAAAATCAGGTTTTGATAGTTCATTTTCATTGAGCCTTGAAAGGTCTACCTTTGGAGATAAGATGACAGCAATTTTGCTCTTAATGCAGTTCAGCTAACTCTAGCGGCTGCTAGCCAGAAAATCAGGAGTTGGTAAAACTGCCAGATGTGCTTATGTGCTCTAAAATACCTTCTGCTTTGTAGTATCACTACCTGCTCTTCCTCAGTCATTTATACTATTTTGCTCCTGGCTAGTTTATGCCTTTACTAGTCATATAATTTAAATCTCTTCACCTCCTCTGCTTAAATTTTCTGCTACTCCAGTCCATGCCCAGATAGTAGTGTTTGATACAGGGAAGTTTTGATATGGAAGAAATTTCTATGCTGTGGTTTCTACATCTAAGGTTATATTAATCTCTACTATTCCTGTGCCTTACTTGGCTGGGAGGCAAATGAATGGCAGGTACCCAGAGGATCAGTATGAATAATGAAGCCTGTTATTACTGTAATGTATTTCTCAAAAACTTTGTTGCTTGTGAATATGTAGCTATACTGTTTCGGTGACCTTTCCAATTAATAATTCAGCAGCGCATGTTAGTACTAATGATTTCTTTATTGTGTCTGAGCTTTTTCACAGTTTGCACAAGAGGGTGGACTTTGCTTCTTGTTGTGTGTTCTTCCCTGATCAGAATGAGTGTAGGTTTTCAGTATTAGTATTAGAAGTTAATAGAATAGGCAGTTAAGTACACACATAATATAGGCTTCTAAGAGAACAGAAATTGCTAGCAAAGTTTGATCCCCGTTTGCTTTCCTCTTGGTGACTAGGAAGACAATCCATGACTGAAATGACAGATGAGTTAAATTACCAAATTTCATTACTGCTGTTTTCTCAGTTCTTACATTCTAGAGTTCGTTATGTTTCTGAAAAAGAATTTGATTACAAAAGCAGCCATGTGTAGTAAGAGAGCTCTGTGCATCATATGTTGGATTTTTGCAACTCTTGCCATAGACTATCCCACAAAACTTAAAAGACTAAAGCTATTCTGTAGAGTATGAATTTATCTAGGCCAAATTCAAAGACGAGCCTACGCTAGTAATGAGTAACAGTTGATAACTTGTTCAGTTTATCTCACAAATGGCCAACACTGGCTAATGGGTACTCCTCGTCATCTTCACAAGCTATTTTCCGGTGGATATGGGAATGAGCTCACAAGACTATTCCCTTTCCCCTCTTACACACGTTGTGCTAGAGGTAAGTGTGGTTTGGGGAAATAGGGGTGGGATGTCATGAGATGAAAGTGAATGTGGGCTTCTTAAATTTTTCACAAACCTCAGTAAAGGCATGTATCTGGGGATGGACAAAGAATCAGGTGAATTTTTATTTTTTGCCCAAAGAGGTTACCCAGCCCTAAATTTACATGGTTTCCTTGAACTGGGAGTTAGAAATCCCTTTTCTCTTCTGTTTTTCTGCTGCAGAAATTCCCAACATTCCCATTATGTGGGCTCCAGAGAGGGGTAAGCAACATCTTCAATCCCACCCAATCATTTCCAAACTAATTCTTTGCTAGTATTTTTTTGCTTTTTAAATCATCATCAGAAATAGCTCTTAGATGCATTTTTCCCATTTGTTTGATTTTCTTGTGGATTCTCATATTTTTGTTTTATAGGAAGGTCCCACGGCCTCCCCAAGTGCTAGGGTCAGACTCATCTGCTGTTTCCATTTGTGTGCTATTCTCCCGTGGATTTTCATGGTTCACTCTGTTGATCTAATCACATTATCAGAGGGTGAGCATCTAGATTCTTGGGACTTTTTCACTCATGGTACCTTAAGTTATTGCAAAAGTACTGTCACCCTGCTGCCTTGTCAGTTAGTTAACAGGCTTATGTTTTACCCTTGCTGACAGCTGCATCCAATTATTCATGGGCATTGGTCTTCTGCTACCTTGCCTGTCTGGGGACTGCCTGGCACTCACTAGTTCTCTTCTCTGTACTGCTGGCTGTGTGACATTGTCCTCCCAAAATCTTGGCCCTTTGCCTGACTGTCTGGCATTACTTCTTGACTAGCTAATTGCTAGACACTGAATACCCCCTGCCCTGCCCATCTGCTGAATGGCGTGTACTGCCTCCTTATTGTCCCTTCTATCTGATTACTTGTGGGCAATGGTTTTCCACTGCCCTGTCTCCCACTTGGAGTGCCTGACATCACCTTCCTGCTGAGTGCATCTGCTGACTGCGGAGTTGTTCTTCTGCTGCTTGGCACACCTGCTGTTTGATACTGCTTTATCAACTTGCTGAATGTCTGGCATTTTCCTCCTGCCTTTCACATGCTTCTTGATTATAGTGTCCCCTTGCTGCTCTTTGAGTCTGCTTACTTACTGATACTTGCTCTTTTGCATTCCTGTCCACTTGCTTTTATGCCTGGCATTTTTGTCACATTGTCCTGCCCACCTGCCTAGATTTTATTCCTAAATATGCATCAGTCTGAAAAATTAAGAAGAAAAGTAAGGAATGGGGAGAAAATATTATCTGACTCCTTCATGATCTGATTCAGTTCAACATACCAGCCCAAAAACTGATGTCAGTACCTGCATCCAGCTTTTTCTTACTTTGCTTACTCAAATCCCTCTCCCTCCTTACAAAAAAACAAAACAAAAACCAAAACAAAACAAAATCCCTCCCCAAAAAACAAAAAAGAAACAGACAGCAAAAAAAAAGAAAGGTCCTAAATCTTACTTAATCTTTACTCCATCACCTCATTTTATAGGTATATTACTGTTTGGAAATGCTGTGTTAAGTATCAAATTCAGCACTAAAACAAATCCCTAATGTTATATATGGTAATTTTTGCAGAACCCGTGGAAGGTAGGTAATAACAGAAAAAAAGGGGGGAAAAAAAGGCAAGCAGTGCGTTACTGAGGCTCAGAGAGATTAATGGCTGAATGTTGAGCTATGCCCAACAAACACTGAATCAAAGGAGTTAAGAAATTTTACAAGTCTCTTATTTGAATCACAAGTTTGCAGCTAACCTAAAAAAGGACATTGGATCAGTATGTGATTACCAGACTGCAGTGTGTTGTAGTTGTTGTTTCCTACTCTGCTGAACTTTTGGTACTGGAAGAATGTTTGGTTATTAGTTTACAGAAACCTTTTTGTCACTTTTTCACAGATTAAGAACAAAGACTTGACTACAAATGTAAGATCCATGGTGAGGGTTCACAAATCATGGACAGAGCTTACTGTATGAAGTACAATTTTCTGCTTTTATTTTAATGCCACTCACTCATCCTCTGTTTTCCTAGTTCTGCAACCGTTTCCAACATACTGTGAATGATTGTAATTTAAATCACGCTTTTGAATCCAGTACTAACTAGGAACTGGAGTAAATTCTCTCTCATAATGAATCGTGTCATAATTTCATGATAAAGACTTCCTTCTCTTAAAATAATTGTCATATCCTATTAACTTAAGCTTTTAAACTCTCAGTACATTATTTTATGTTTTATAGTATGTGTTGTCTTCTTGCTATCTTCAGAGATACCCTAAATATGTTGACTGATGTTAAACCTGACCAGCAAGCCAGCAACCTTGACTGAGTACCTCTTCACTTGTGCCAGACTATGTGTTGGCTCTGAGAGGTATCCTATGAGAGCACAGCTTGCTTCTGACACCAGCCTGCCATGGAGAATGGCTCCCAGTGTGGCAGACAGCCACAGTGAGAGCCAGCAGGGACTTTCTCGTCGATGTTGCGCTGAACTCTCAAAATCTGCTGTACTGCTTTATTCAGCTCCAAGGAACTTCAGGACAATAACAACCTTTTGGTGTCCTAGGCTTCTCACTCTTAGCGACTCTTCCCTGTTTCTCCAAACATATTTTTTCACAACTTTGCAAATTCTTAAAAACAGCAGGTTTACAGTCTCTCACTTCCCACCAACTTCGCGCTGTTGAGGTTTGTGGATAAAAGAACAGATCTCAGTGGCAATTCACACTCTGAAGGTTTTAACTCTTGGTGCTACTTTGTTTTGCTTCTTTCCTAGAATGTTGTTTGAGAACTGGCATCAAGTGAGGATGAGAAGAGAGGAGGAGCATTTCCTCTTGCACTGTAGGGCTGCTGGACAGCTCTTGACCTCATTTCTTACCCCAAGAACTGCAGGTCATATCATCACAGGTGTATCATTTCAATTAAAACAGTTTCTCTAAATTAATGTTATCTCAGAAAAATGACTAGTTTCCAAATAATATGGATGTATAAATTTTAAACAAAATGCAGAAAAATTCCGAAACTGAAAGATAGATAAATACTGTGCTTTTCCTTGAACATATGCTTTTTTCCTGGTTGAAAATTGTACCTCCTGGAAAAATTGGTGCAGTGCTGACTCAGGCAGCTTCATGGTAAAAATGTCCAAGGAAATCAGCTTTTCATCTGTAGTGATCAAGCTATTGCAAAAGCATTTTAGTCATTTTGAAAAAATATATGTTTACTTGAAAGAATATACTTTAGTTTTCTATCTTATAAATCTGGCCCAGGAGTTTTAGGGGAAACAGCTTCATTTTCAAGAGTGAAAAAAGTGAACAGCTATCTGCCACTTTCCTATGAGTTGACTAAGTATTTCTCTCAGATGAGTCAATATTTATGTATACAAAATTAATACATGAACAGAAAACCCTAAAACTTCAGTCTCTCTCTCCAACACTTTTACGTTGCATGCAAATTTAACACTGGAGATTCCAAGAATGAGAAGGACATAGAAAGCAGATTTCTTTGTCTCCTGGTAATTTTGTTTCCTGCAGCATCTTAAAGAGAAGCTGCTATTAACTCATCAACACTCTTTTCAGAGAGAGAGTAGTTTTCTTTTGATATCTGAAAAGTTAGTAAGATGCACTTAACTACCCTAGCTTGTGTGTTTTTCTCAAATAATAGCTTGTCACATTCTTAAAACAGCTTAATATATTCCCCAATAATGTTTTATATCCTTGTTTCTTTTCCTTGATTTAAAAAATAACCACACACACACAAAACCACAAAAAAAACAAAACGATTTTTTTAATTTAACTTGGTTCACTCAGACACATAGCGTTGGGAAATTAAGGTTGGGTGCATATGGTTTCTGTGTTATTCTGCATTACTGTCTTTCATCATCTACATATACTATATAGAATCCTGATGTCTGATTTTTTTCTTTAATTAATATCTCTAGAGCTATTTGTGGTTCCTGTTCTCAGAATGTGAGCACATTGCTCTGGTAGTAATAGGAGATAAAACAGTCATGGTCCATCTTTGAGAGCTATTGCAAGACAGTTGAATTATACCTTCAGATCTTACAGCTTAAAATGGTAAAGTCAAATGATAGGTAATGAACTGAATGTATTCTTTAAATACTACCTGTCAGTTACAGGACAGTTAGACCATGATAAGGTTATCCTAAGAGTGTCATATTTCATCTTCTCTACAAAACTTTTTCATCTAATTATGTCCATGCGAATCTTGGAGAACAAAAGAAATTATTCATGCCAGGAATTAAATAATACTGTTCAGGAAAGTGTTGGAATCACTTCTGCTTTCAAAGTCTGTTCAGTTTTTCAGTTCCAGTGAGCACATCACTCATGTATATCTACATCAGCAATTATTCATGTACCGGACACATGAATTGCATTACTGGATCTCACTGAATAATAGTTTTTATGAGTTTTTATGTTATGGCATTAATTCCTGAAAGCTGTTATCACCATACTTTACCACTTATTTGGACAGTGAAGATACTATTTAAGGCAATCTTAAGAGAAAGTGCTTTTAGTAATTCTTGAGTTGTCAAAGTAAATGATTGAAAAGTTATCGCTCAATACACCATTCTTTGTACTGTAAAAATGCATTTTAGGAGAGATTGTTTTTTGTTGTTGTTTTTTTTTTAAATCTTCAACATTGACGATTTTAGATTCAAAATTTTTTTGAAAGAGATGTGGCAAAAGCTCACCAGAGTTCTGTAGGCAGTGTTTGTACTTCATGGATGGTAGCAAATACAGACAACGTTCCCGCTGTTCTCAAATAGCTACAAAATTATTTATTTAGAGATGTAAAATTGTGAATAGAATTTCAGTGCATTCACTGCCAAGAAGACTGGGCAAGTTCTTAGGAGAAAGTAGTATAAATTTCTGACTGATGACTTCATTCTTTATGTGTGCTAATGAGGATCTATAAATAATAAGTTTTCATCCTGTGGTATCGTAACCATCTCAAAAGGAATGGTTTTTTTTCTCTTTTCAGTTCTAGACTGTATTGATTAGTACACTTCTTGAAACTAGTTTTACATGAAATTAAGATAACTCAATCCTGTTTCTTCTTTGATACAGGTAGATAGTCTAGAATTTAGTACACATAACCACATGTTCAACACAGAGTAATTTTTTAATGAGACACAGCTCCCTAACATTATTTAATGCTCATTACATTGTCAGTTGCAGTAATTGTAGAATTCTTACTGGTATTGATTATGCTTTCTGCTGGTTTCTCTTATTTCTAC